GGAAGTACTCCAGGTTTTGTCAGACATCAGGAACTCTCTGGACAGAAATCTTTTCTTATCCCTACTCAGGCTCTCAAGCAATGTTTCACAACCCTGATTATATATCAGAATCACACAGGAAGCTGTGAAAAATGCCAGGAGCAATTAAATCAGAACCTCAAGTAAGAGTTTTGGCACTGGTCTGATTGACTAAATATGGATCAGGGCCTGATATTCTGCATTTCTAACACGCTCTTGGGTGATGCTAATGTTGCTGGTCCCTAAGGCATACTTTGTGAGCAGCCAGGCTCTAGACCAGAAGAACAGGGGAGCCGTTTAAGCAAAGGTCGGGCTGTCTTGGTTGCTGGATTGTCCATCTACTTAAAACTCTGCTCAATGATTCCAACTCTTCCAACCCAGAGTTGGCTTTTGGATTTAAACACCAGTTGTGTCACTAAAGGTGTGATGACATGACTGCTGATGCAAGTGCGGGCTCTCAGAAATCCATGTAGCTTCTGCATCATTGTCATCGTCCCTTGATAACTAGCTGCTCTAATTAATAGTCTGCAAATTGGTTTTTTAGGCCTAGAAGTGGAAAAAAACTGTACCCGGACCCAGAATACCAAGTGCAGATGTAAACCAAACTTTTTTTGTAACACTCCTCTATGCGAACACTGTAACCCTTGCACCACGTAAGTTTTAGTCTTTCTCTGATTAAAACGCTAGGTATATCTTGAGAGATAATGATTTCCTAAGGGGAGCAACACTGGCTGAGAGTCAAGAATTTGCATTCTAGTCTTGCTTTGCCTCTAAGCAACTTGGATAACCACTTCATCCAAACATTTGATCTCCAAACATTTACTGAACACCTCCCGTGTGCTTGATACTGTACTAGCTGGTCAGGCTAACAATATGAGCAGACATATGCCTGGCATTCAAGGTCTAAGGCTGGAGGCAGAGAGTGTCAAGAAAAGCAATGGTTCTTGTGTCCACACCACGTGGCCAGAAGAGACTTGTGCTCAGGGTGTTATGAGTTATGTAGGAAAACCTTTCACCTCCACCTGGGGAGCTGGGTAAAGCTATGGCAAATGGCTAGAGTCTTGAAGGAAAGAAAGAAAGAGCCTTACCAGGTGTACACAGATGGAAAAGACATTTTGGGCAGGGGAACAGCAGCTGCAAAGAGACAAAAGGAAGCTCTGGAGAACTGAGGACCTGGCTGGAGTGTAGGAAAGACTTGAGATGGAGCCAGGGCCTTTCTTTCATGTTAAAGAGCTTGGTTTTGACCCAAAGTTAGAAAACCTGGTTGCACATTTCACTTTTCTTCTGATTAATTGGGTGATTTTGAACAGATCACTTAACCTCTCTGAGTTTCAGTTTCCTCACTCATAGGATGCCAATAATATTCATTTGTCCTATCAGCCTCGTTTCAGTGAAGATCAGGTTGGGTAACATGTGTTGTAAAAATAGCTTTTGCTTTGTAAGATATTGTTTTGCAGAAGTATAAATGTTTAGGATTATATTCATGTGTCTCTCCTTAAGAACATGTAACTCATCTTGGGAAATTTTTAGGAGTTCACTTACAGACTCGAAAAGTAGGGACACGATGTCTTATCTCTTATTTACTAGAACATGTTAAACTATGTGCAGTTCATCTAGCCTCTCCCTCCTAGCCCCAAGTGTTTGAGAGTGCCCTCATGATAACCGCCTAAGTTGGGATGGGGCAAAAGGACTAATGTAGGAAAATAAGGATGATGATAATAATAATCCTAAGTATTCCACAGTCTCGATTTTTCTTCTCACCCTAACCCTTTGAGACAGGTATTAGTATGTCCTTGTTATTTATTTTATTTTTACTTTTCATTGAAGTACAGTCAGTTTACGATGCTGTGTCAGTTTCCGGTGTACAGCACAATACTTCAGTTATATAGGAACATATATTCGTTTTCATATTCTTTTTCATTACAGGTTATATTTCCTTGTTATTGATGAGAAAACAGGCTCATGGGGTTTAAGGGACTTGCCCAAGCTCACCTAGTTAGGAAGTGGGCAGAGCCAGGCTGTGATTCAGACAATCTGTCAGTCTTCGGCTGTCTGAAGATCCCACAGGGGCCTCTGCAGTGTCCTGATCACCACTTGATGTTAAAAGGGGACACCTATAAGGGCCAGCTGGGTAGACTCGCTAAGAAGTAGCCTGGGCAGGGGTTATTATCTGGCCATTTTACTACTCTATAGCCCTGTTTTGAAATTGCTTTTGGCAATTTATGATTTTAAGAGCACAGTGTGTTACCAATTTAAAGTTTATTTTTGTGTCTATTTCATCCTTTTTGCTTACATGTTGATATTTTAAACCTTTTCCTTTACCTCAAGGTTTTAAACCATAGTCATTCTTTCAGATATTTTTCATCCAAACATCCAAATTAGGTTATG